TGCAGGCAGAGGCTGCACTGACACCCAGCTGAAGATGTGCTACTTTCCTATTTTTGCTGCTCTTTACTAAACTGACACTAAAAGCTAAAAGCTTCCTCCTGGTTATACACATACAAACACAAAGATCCCAGTGAACCTCCTTAGAAGAGAATGAGCTTCACTGTGTTCTTGAACAACAACTCTGCTTTAGCTTTAAAGTTTTGCTACTGATCAGAAATGTTTGTGCAGCAATCGTAAAGAACACTTTACTAAAAATTTGTCAGTTTGCTGAAGCTTCCTGTTATGTCTCGTGAAAATCACATAGAAGGCTACTAGCACAGCAGACATCACTTTTATGTAACAAAACTAGATGGGTCCATTTTGGAGGAGCTTTATGCATATGTGACATGTTCACACTGAACATGGAGCTTGATAGAGCCGACCTCTAAAAATAGCACCTGGTTATCCTTGTTCTCATCAGCAGCCACAACCCCATCTCAACTCTGTCATTTGGTGCATCAATCTGGCACCCCTCTCCCTCCTCCAGAGCAGACAGAAGCAGTGGTACCCTGAGGTATCTTGTTTTAGGAGAGGTAAGATGCTTGCATCTGCTGCAAGCACACATTTTAAACAATATCCCTGCCCCTCAGCAGGCAGTTATCATGTTGTTTTGGCAGCAGGAAGGAATCTGTGGTTTTTCTTGAATGTTGCTCTTCTTTATTTAAACTACCAGAAATAAAGCAAAAATGACAGAATGCTCTGTCTATAAATAATCATTCCGGTGTACAGTTATATTAGGAGGTAACTCAGATGGCATGATAACGCCTAACAGGCTAATCTTAGACCTGTAATGCCATAAGATGAAAATAACTAGGCTAAGAATAACTGACCCAGAGGAGTCAGCCTGTTAAAGAGATCCACAGAACAGGGCATTTTTCATGTGTTCAACAATAATATCTGCCGATCGGTTTTTCTATGATATTTTGTACTGTACCCAACATATGAAACTCTATCCCCAGCAGTAGCTGGGAAGGGTTAAAATGCAACAACATCTGAAATCTCCCCCATCATCTACACCAAAACCTGAAATGAATGTGAATATTTTGCAGGCTACCTATCTATTCTGCTTTCTCCCAGTGTTTGGTTTTTTCTGCAAAGACAGTGAAGAAGAGAGGGGCTGGGCAGTCGGCACAGAAATGTGGGTCTGATTAAAGCTCTGGCAGCAGAAGAGTTACAAGTGTTCACATATCAAGTACAAACCTTGATGAAGTAAATGTATTCTGCACAGTTTTATAGAAGGGAGGACTGGCTGGAACTGTGTTTTTGAGTGCCATGCAAACCAATGCATGTTATAAAGCCAAACAGCTAAAGCAATAAACGACTGAAGCAAAAAGCTGTTTTCCAATAAAGAGATTTAGTTCAACACACTGAAGAGAGGGGAGCTAGTGTTCTAGCACCAGTACTACAGAAACTCTGTACTAAATGCAGTGTTTAATGGTCTCTGAAAAGCACTGAAAGATGAAGTAATGTTTTGCATAGTTTTTTTTATTTACTTTCCAGCTTTTCTAACATGCTATTCTTGTCAGTCTTGTACTTCGAATTTCAGGCTTTTCTCACAAGCGATAAATATACCTTCTAATACAAAGCAAGACCATCAGGTAACCACATAGCATCAGAAGCTATGACTGGAATAAAAAAACAGAAGAAGGAAAAGGCAATGTAATAGCATTAGTTGTTACAGCATTAGACCCATGAAATTTGCAACGTTGGTCTGTATTCAATGTTGTCTCAAAACATAAAACTAAAAGCAGCTTCATTCCATTTCACCATGTCTTTGTTCAACTGAATTTATAACGAAAGTTTTGTCCAGCATACACTGCAGAGCAGAGCCTCTACTCAAAATAAGTGAGATTTTAACTACGTAAGACCTGCAGCTCTGTGTTGCCTGTTTCTTCTCATTGTATTAACTGTATATGGCTAAGGCCTTACACTCCCCTAACAATTAATTCAAATACTTTGCTACTACTATGAAGCACCAGATTATTTGGTACCTCACCTTTACAACAGGCATTGAAAAAGCAACTCTGGTTGTTATCCAGAACTTCCCTATACTGAATTTCCACGCTCATTTTTTCATTACCTTGTAGAGAACCACAAAGCTCAGCACATCTATTCCCATTTTTTCTGCTCTCTCCGAAGTGTTACTACCTGAGATACCATCAATGAAGCATTTTTTATCTGTAAGAAGCTTGTTACCTGACTGAGATACACAAATATGTCAAGTTTTTCATGAGTATCAGGGCAAAACTTTAAATGAACTTGCTTTCTGCAGGTTCTCCACAGGAAAATGTAAGCAGGTGAAGGTTTTGTCCAGGAAAAAAAAAAGGGGAGAGCAAATACCAAAGAACTTTTCCCTGAAGGCAATATAAATCCATGTGTAAAGCAATCCAGGCGCATACAAGGTCACGCAGACACATGGCAGAGACAACACAGAAGACAAACTGGGGTTTACTGAGGGAAGATTGCTCAGGAGGACCTGTCAGCCCACATACAGCATGATGCGTGCAGCAGTAATTCTGTCATTTATATTCAAGTGACACAGCTTACACTTCCTGACTGGAGCAGAGAATAAACATTCACTACATCCACTTGCGACACTTGTGAAATCGCAGGTATTTTACAAACCTGTAGGTGGATGAAGCCAATCAAATCAATCATCCTGAACCGTTACATTCCCTTTAGAATACTTTTGCTCTATTGATTCCTGACCCTGACAGGTATCATTTACTGTGTTTCACAGAAGGATTAGCTGACATAAGCAGGATTGTGTAACTTGCTCAGGTCACCTGTCAACTCATTGCCAAGCCAAGCTTTAAGCTCGCGATCTCCTTGAACTCTTGATTTTTCAACACAATAGCTTTGGGCAGGAAGCAGAAGATGCCTTTTCCAATAAAAACCAAGGTGGAATTCAAGCAGGGTACTGCAAGGCTGTACATCAAGATATGCCCAGTGGAGAAGACTTATCAACCTTACCCTTTGAAAAACCAGCACTGTGTATTAAATCACCAAAAGCTGGCATTACTTTCTGAAGTCCCACATCTACAGATACCAGGACTGGTTAGGTCCTTCCTTCTCCTTCACACAACTACCATCTATTTAAGAAATGTAGTCCTGCATTGGTTATTTATTAACTACAACTTAATGAGTGTTTTTCAATGGAATGTGTTGCACCAAATGCTTTTTTTTCAAGGACTTACAGTTTATTACCTGTACTCTGGAAAGATCAGAGGCCAGCTGGATGTCGGGATCCACTGTGGCATTGCACACACATAGAAATTGACTCCTTTTGTGTAAAGTAAAAGGGACAAATAGTAATTCCAGCTAAATAAGAGGCTTTAGACCCCAGACTTATTTAGTTAATGTGAAATTAAAAAAATTATGGTATCAACTAAGAATGCATCAGCATCATTTTCTTAAATAAAGATGCACAGTACTTGCTGCTGCATTTTAGAGCAACAGCACCATATGGGAGAATTTAGTTCAGTCTTCTCAAGATAGCTGCAACGGCTCTCTGCAGTAAGGTGTAGGTGTCTGCAAATTACACAGCCTCTTGAGTCAGCGCCGATCTAGATTGCTCCATTCATAATTAGACTTTTGATTGGTACCTATCCAGATCATCTCATTCATAGTATGACTTACAAGCAAGGATGGAGACAGACAGGCAAGGCAGTAATTGAGGGAATACCAGGAGAAATGATTCTCATTACAGAAATATTTCCTATGCCTGCTCTTGTCAAAAAATTCTTAGACATTTTGCTTTGCAAATCCAATCCATTGACCAGTAAACCTGTCCTCTTTGGGGATGTCTCCAGCAAGTTTAAAATCAGTTGCATAATACATGTGCATTGTATCTGGATACCATCAAACCTAAAAATCTGACTGTTGTCGGCTGGTTTAAGTTATTCTTGAAGTCTCTGGAGAAAGCACAAACTTTCAGGAATCTTGAAGTCTCTGGAGAAAGCACAAACTTTCAGGAATCTGTTATTTTCTTAACTACATGCAACTTTTTAACGTGAGTATAAGTCACATACATTTAAGCAAAGCTAACTTTAAGGGCATTGTGAAAAGGAAAATTCAAATGTCTGTTTCTGGCTTCTCCAAATGCTAGTGCATACTGTCATACCCTAGCTATTTCTTTCTTCCCTATATGCATCATGTATAGAAACAATGAAAAGTCACCAGAACTGATCCTGCAAGATGCTGAACTTGAGGGAGCTGCAACCAAGAGCAGCACCAGGCTTTGAGGTTTCACGTGACACGAACTGAAACTGCAGACTATGTGTAATGTCAGCTACTCATAGTCTAGTTGTGTATTTTAAAGGCCAACTGAAACACAGAGAAATATTTCATGTTCCACAGAATATATAGATATAGATATTTATATATTTAAACATTTTTATCTGGATAATGTTATTGAATAAGCTTTTGTGGGGATTGTTTTCAGTCTAAAGCCACTCCCTCGTCTCGACTTGGCACTACAGGGAAATTGTGTGTGTTATATGGATTTATCTAATGTACTATCAGATAAAAATCAACAGTTATGTGACATTCTTATTTCCAAGGAAGACAAGCAGAGCTATAAACTTACAGAAAATCACCTCCTTTTCTTGAGTTTCAAATGAAAAAACTGCTATTATATTAGCTGGCAGTTAAGAGGGTAGCATAGTGAGATAAATCCCCCAAATTTTCACTCACAAACCATGAATTTTAACTTGACTTAGTAGTAAAAAAAATAAATAAAAGCTCCCAAAAATTCAAAAACAACAAAAAGCCAAACAGGAGGGAGAGAACACAATCAGCCTTATCTTTAACCCATGTAAAAACACTGGACACCTGTTGAGCAGTTCAGGAAAACTAAGGAAATGCAATAAGGCAAAGCAACAATTCTTGAACAAGAAGTTGATGCTGTAGATGGCTTTGCAGAAGAGCTGTAACACTTCCAGGAAAACTTTTGCTCTTACCCACAGTCTTTGCTAGAGCTTCACGGTTCATAATTGCAAATATGCCTTCACCTGATTTGTGTCCTGACAAAGGAGCTGAAATTGGTGAACAACAATGTAAAACTGTATGTAAGAAAGGAGCACAAGTAAAATTTCTATCTCTTTTTCTACACAGCAGGAAAATAAACAGTTTTTAAAAAACAGACATAGGCTCAACAGGTGTACCAAAAAATGTATAATGTGAAGAGAGGTATGGTATACACACATAATTATCTTTAAAAATTGAGGTCAGTCAAGTTTTGGGAAAGAAGAAAAAGAGCAAAGGGGGCACAAACTAAGCCTAAAATACATGCAAACAATTCACCCTGCATTCCACGTAAGGATCTTTTATAAAACTAACACTTTCTGAAAAACGAAGTCAGAAACCTAGGTTTAAATAGATATAAACTGGAAAATACTGTGCCTTAATAGACAAGAGTTTCATCCCAGTGAAAACTGAACTGGAACTAACAGACTTTAGGAGAGAATAGGCAAGGGTAGACAACGTGAAATGTTGACATTTTAGCCCATCTAATTTATTGCCATGATTGAATGGCAACAATTCTTCCAAGTTAATTTATCCTCAGTAGCAGATCTCAAACACAGCTAGGAAAGAAACTAGAAAACACAGGGATAGCTGGAAATACATGAGGAAACATGCAGTGTTCTTTCTGAGGAGCTTCTAAATACCTTCATGAAATAACACATCCAATTTACATCTCAGTGAGCCATTACATGTAACTAGCACTGCCAGGTTCACAAATATTTTTAAAGGAACAAAATAAACCATGGTAGTTTAAAGATGTTTTAAACATTTTTTTATATATATATACATTACATTAGTAGCACTGTAATGAAAAGAGAAAGGAATTGGTATTAAACCCCCTTCATATGCAAACTAGAGAAAAGGAAACTCACAGAAAGAGCAAATCCTGTTTACAATAGACGTATGACTAGAATTGCTTATGAGGGGCTCTAAATGCAGCCTCCTGACAAGGTCTGTCAGAGGAAGCCTGTTCCTGTGAACAAGCTGTGTACCATGAGCCCCATTTTGCAATCACACAACAAAACAAACAAGGAAACCCCAACTCGACTTCAGTTGGGAGCATTTTACTGCATCTGGAAAGCAGCAGACCAAAGGAGACAAACTCCTCGCAAAAGCAGCAGCTGCTATCTAAAATACCACCAGAATTAGACAAACTTAGATAAAGCCCACAAAAATAAAGTCACTTCTTAAAAGGCAGGGTGTTTCCTTGTCATGCTAGGCTGTATGTTCCCCGTCTGCCACTCAAGTCTAAGGCACGGAGCTGTCTCTTACCTGGGCTGATCATACTGTGCATTCTTTGCTGAGCCAAGAGCTGTTCACGTCCAGAAACCCCATCTGAGGAAAAACACGATTCACTCTCGTAAATTGTCTGCAGCATATTCCAACTGGTCTGCACTTCAGCTACACAAGAGATTCATCACTGCACTTGCACACAGGCGTCGGGCACGACCCTCTGCGGTCCTACCTCCTCCAGCGAGGGTTGTAAGGTAATATGCTTCGGCAATTAGCAGTGTTTAAGCATTTGCACAAGTATCTATGAGGAGAGGGAAGGAGCCCAAATCCGGTGTCGGCAGCCCCCGCCCGCAGGAAGGAGCCGTGAGCGTGCGGGGGGCTGAGCGCTGCCGAGTTTGAGCACTTGCGTTCGGGCAGCCAGCGGCAGGTGCAAGAAGAAATGAAGAAATATCTCTGCGCTTTGGGCTTCCTGGCAGGGCGGGTGGGG